AAAAAATAATAAGGCTTAAAGATCGGAGAAGTAAAACTTTTTATTTACAGATGACATAATCTTGTATGTAGAAAATACTTAAGAATCTAAAAAAATACAAACACCATTAGAACTAATAGGTGAATTTAGCAAAATCGTAGGATACAAAACCAATTACAAAAAAATCTATTTTATTTCTATATACTAGCAATGAACAATCTGAAATGAAATTAAGAAAATAATTTATATACAACACTATAAAACATATTTAGGAATAAATTGTAAAAAAGAGGTACAGGACCTGTACACTGAAGATTACAAAATATTGCTGAGAAAAATTAAGAAGATCTAATAAAATGGGGAGATAAACCACGTTCACAGCTTGAAAGATTCAATATTATTAAAATGGCAATTTTCCCCAATTGATTCAATGTAATCTCTCTCAAAAGTCCAAGCAGGCGTTTTTGTAAAAATTGATAAGTGATTTTAAACTTTATTTGCAAATGCAAAGGACATACTGTAGCCAAAAGAAATTTTTTTAAAGATAAAAGATGAAGGACTTACACTATTTTAAAACTTACTATAAAAGTATAGTAATCAGGACAGTGATATTGGTATAAGGATAGACTTACAGATCAATGGAACAGAATAGTCTAAAAATAAAACCACACATATACACTCAAATGATTTTCAAAGGTGTAAAGATAATTCAGTGGGGGTAACAATAGTCTTTTCAACAAACAGTGCTAAAACAAATGGTTGGATATTGCAAAAAATAGAAAAAGAACTTAGACCCTTATCTCACACATACACAAAAACTTACTCGAAATAGAGCATAGACTTAAACGTAAATCTTACAACTATAAAACTTCTAGAAGAAAACAGGAGAAAGTCTCTGTGACCTTGTGTTAGGCAATTATTTCATAGGTATGACACCAAAAACACAACCCACAAAAAAAAAAAATGATAAATTGAACCTCACCAAATTTAAAAGCTTTTGCTCTTCAAAACTCACAATGAAGAAAATGAAAAGACAAGTCACAGACTGGGAGAAATCATGTGCAAAACATATATCTGATAAAACACTTGTGTCCAGAATATACAAAAAACTTTTACAACCCAATAACAATAAGAAAATCCAATTTAAAAAACCAGCAAAAAATTTAAATAGATGCTTCATCAGTGAAGATATATCAATGGCAAATAAGCACATGATAAAATGCTTGACGTCTTAAGACATAAGGGAAATGCAAATTAAAACCACGATGAGATATTACTACACTTCTGCTAAAATGACTGAGATGAAAAAGACAAATAATATCAAGTGTTGGTGAGTATGCAGAGGAATTAGAACCATTATACATTGCTGATGAGAAGATAAAACAGTACAACCACTCTGGAAAACAGTTTGGCAGCTACTTAAAGAGTTAAACATACACTTACCATACAACCCAGCAATTCTACTCCTAGGTATCTACCCAAGAGAAATAAAAACATATGTCCACACAAAGATTTGTATGTGAATGTTCACTGCCAAAAACTGGAAACAATTCAAACGTCCATCAACTAGTGAATGGACGAACAAAAAGTTAATCCTTACAATGGTATACTACTCAACAATAAAAAGGAACAAACTGCTGATATACACAACAATATGCATGAACTTCAAAAAAATTACTCTAAGTGAAAGAAGCCAGAGACATAAGTCAACATATTATATGATTCTATTTATATAAAATTTCTAGAAAAGAAAAAATTATAGACTATAGACAGAAAAAAGATCTGTGGTTGCTTAGAGGTGGGGATAGGAGCAGGGACTGACCATTGATGGGCATGAGAGAACTTTTTCCACTTACGGAAATGTTAGAATATTGGATTATGGTGATGGTACACAACTGTATGTATCTGCTATAAATCATCAATCTCCATATTTTAAAAAAAGAACTTTTTTGAGGTCCTGTGGAGTTGTCTGATTATGTTCTATGTAACTTTCTGGGTTTTGGTTTCATCCACACCAAGAAGAATATACAAATATGTAATTCCATATTATCCAAAGTACTTTTAAAACATACAGTTCATATAGGTCAACCTAAATATTTGGACAACCATAAGAAGAACTGGAGTAGATGAGGCAAGATTAAAAAAAGGCAACATTAATGAAATAGGAGAGGAAACTTGAGTGGAATCTATAGAGATAGAAATTGGGAGAGGAAATTTCTAACTCCAACATGTAACTGACAGCCATTGATGAGACTCTAGTTTCCAATCCAACACTGCAGTTAAGAGTCACATTTCTGGGCCGGCCCCGTGGCTTAGCGGTTAAGTGCGCGCGCTCTGCTGCTGGCGGCCTGGGTTCGGATCCCGGGCGTGCACCAACGCACCGCTTCTCCGGCCATGCTGAGGCCGCGTCCCACATACAGCAACTAGAAGGATGTGCAACTATGACGTACAACAATCTACTGGGGCTTTGGGGGGCAAAAATAAAAAAAAAAAATCTTTAAAAAAAAAAAAAAAAGAGTCACATTTCTAACTGATGAGAATATTAACCATTAAGGAGCAGATATAGAACATCAAACTGGTAATAGTCATTAGCTCTAGAGAGGGGAGCAGAATTGGGATTGGTCAAGGGACTTCTGCTCAATATTAAAGTTAGAATTTTTACAAGGATTTATTCACATATTATTTGTGTAACTAAAATAAATAATTTTTTTTTTGTGAGGAAGATCGGCCTTGAGCTAACATCTGCCAATCCTCCTTTTTTTTTTTCCTGCTGAGGAAGACTGGCCCTGGGCTAACATCCCTGCCCATCTTTCTCTACTTTACATGGGACGCCGCCACAGCATGGCTTGACAAGTGGTGCGTCGGTGCGCGCCCGGGATCGGAACCCGCAAACCCTGGGCTGCTGCAGCAGAGCGCGCGCACTTAACCACTTGCACCACCAGGCCGGCCCCTAACATAAATAATTTTTAATAAAAGAATTCCATATGCCTAAGACTACTCTAGCCTCATAGTTAACATTTTTTCAACGCCAACATCCTACTCTCTTGGTAGGTACCTAGTCAAATTTTACAAATTCAGTTGCTTTCAGGGGTAAAGTGGGTAATCATATGAGTAAAGCTGAGTGCACATGGGGCTTACAGGCATTCAGACTCAAAATCATAAAAAAAACTGTGCAGGTTAAACAAAGTACTTCTGCAAATTAAATTTAACTGGCAGCCCATTACTTTGCTATCTCTCCCAATTTCAGTGTTTCTCAACTTTTTAAAAACTTTGTCTTCCTTTAATAGCTAATAAAGATTTCATATCTTCTTTCGAAGTTATTTGAAATTTCACAATACACCAAATATTGAGACTAAAACCAAATCACAGCAATTATACTACTGAAAATGTTTTTCAAACTACAATGGTCCACTACTCTTCCCTATCCCACTTAAAATTATTGCCCCTAGACCTTATCATCACCTGGAACTGCACCATCTCTGAAATTTGAAAACCAATATCTTATGAATACAGATTGCCTCACTTCCTTATTGCCAGTACATTGGCTCTTCAACTTCCCTGAAACCTTTACCCTTATCTCTTTTTACTTATTTTGTTAGCTTCCTTTTCTTCTGCGGTTCTACTTAGCAATTCCTGGAAAGGACTTGAGTCAAAGCCCTTTGACATTTGCTAAAACTGTTTTCTCAAATATCAATAACAAACTCTCTCAAACTCTTCTGCAAATATACCAAACCATTTCCAGTTCCCTAAATAAACCACAATCACACACTGTACTTTCACCCTGTAATTCTTATTCATACTTAAAGACCAAACTCAAGCCACAGCTCCTCTAAAAGCTTTCACAACAAGCTTTTTCCCTACTTCAAACCAAGCCAGGTTACGTGTTCTCTCCAGCCTCCCTCCTCAGGTGCTTCAACTACACATGTATTTAACAAGCATACTATGTAGAAAACATTTATATTTAATATTAATAAAGGATTTTAAAACTAGAAGAAGCCTTAAAGATCATTTCTGCTTGTCATTTTACAGACGAGACATTTTAAAACTGACAAGTTAAATGATATAGCCATAGCTATCTATCAGATTTTATCAAAGAGAAACATAGATCTCATTGTAAAATAGACTTGAAAATAGAAAAAATTTCCAGTTCAACCTCTGCAAATAAACATGAAATTGATTCCCAGGACACTTTCCCAATTTATGGGTTTGTGACCGTCAAACCACCAAAGATCTCTTCTTAAGGTGAGGAAGGAGTTGAGAGTAGACAGTTTGCAGCTTTAGAGCTAATTTTCTAGAGTGTACAATAATTCTTAACTAGAAAACAGTTTGTCAACCAGCTGCCTGGGACTTTCAGGCCACATTTTCCATAATCAATGTTGTACGTGATATTACTTCAACTATATTTGATTACTATATAGATAATATATATAAAGGCTTATGCTGAAAATCAGATTCTCAAGTCTAGCCCAGAACCATGCACCTTATATAACATGCCCATGTGTGTGATCTTGCTCAACCTGTCCAAGATGGGGTAACTTCTTGCTCATTTACTCCTCAGTTGTTCTTAATATGGGAAGAGAAAAAGACTTAAATATTATGTGAGAGAGGAAGTAAGAGGCATAACAGGTTAAATATTTAATTAGATAGAAAATAATTTTTATTCGCTTATAAATAAGATAGGAAGTGGTATCTCCACCCCTTCCACTACTTGGAAATTCTCTTAGATTAATAAATTCTGCTTCTAAAAAGCAAATAATGCCCCCATCCACCACCAGCAGGAGTATGAAATAAACCTTATTCATAATCTGAAGGATTTTCCTAATTATTCATCACTTAGTAAACATTCCTAGAAAATGCATAACTCACTGTATTAAGCAAAGGAGCTAGAAGTTTGGCTTCCAAAAGTTATCCCAGCACCATATTTCTTAAAAGCTACATAAAAAGAAAAACAACAAAAAACCTTGATTGACATATACTTTACTGCATCACACATCCACTTATCAAATTCTTCATTTCCTAACCTGGAATGTCGGAGGCTGTCCTTTTTGTTTTTGGCAGAACACAATGTACATTCACAGCCAACTGCATGGGGCTTGGGTAGAGATACGTCCTGTTTTAACAGCATTGTAAGAATTTCATAGTTGTTACGATGAGCAGCTAAAATGACAGGTGCAACATCCATTGTTGTTGAATACTCAGGATTCTGAATTCGCTCCATTAGTTTCTGAAAAATATTTATGTGAATGTCCAAAAGTTATTATTTGTGATTTCAAAAAAACATATTTATCTGAAGAATGAAATGGAAAAAATCGGAAGGCACAAAGAACATAAGAATTTTAAGGAATATGATAAACATTTTACCACGACTAAGTTTTTTTGAAACCTCAAAACTTAACTTTAATTAATAAATGCAATATAATCATGATAGACAAAATCTTCAATAGGAAACATTCATACAACCGGAGTTGTATTTTCCTAACAAAGAAGTGAGACTATCTAGAGAAATACTTTAGCAAAAAGTGTTTAATTTTCACAAGATTATGAAAATATGGAGGACAAGGACCAAGAATAAGAATTTTAGAAAAAAAATATAATGGAAAAACAGAAATGTTAAAAATAGCCAGAGTATAAATGCATGAGAAAAACTTTAAAAACTCCACTTCTATGGCAAACCTTGTCAGATGATAGCATGAGGCTACTTGAAAGGGATAAGTAAGCAGGCATCACTTTTCACTTTGTATAATTCTATACATAGTCCCAATCATTATCTATACTACTCCATGCTGCAAATGCACAAAAACACTAACAATCATAGCTTCTATTTAGTAAGTCTTGGAACTGTTAGGCTCTTTACATTTATCATCTCATTTAATCCTCACACTAGCCTGCAAAATTGAGCATTATAATCCCCATGAGGAAACTGAGGCTCAGAGAAGTTAATGCGCCCAAGCTACACGACAGAGAGGAAAGGGCAGGTCAGAAACCAGGTTTCTATTACTGCAGAGCCTGAGCTCCTTCCACTACATGGGCTCATCAGCCTGGTGACCGTGTGACACGAGGAAAGAAACATTAGTTAATAAAGAATCAGGGTTAAAAATAAAAGGTCGACTATTTTTATGACTATTGCATATTCTTTCCAATACTTTTCACTTTTTCACAGAGGTTTTCCTGACAGTTGTTTGATTCCATAGTATGAGCTCATCAAGTTCACAAGGTTTTTTTGTAACTTTTATTAACATTGTACAAGTAGTGCAAACACATTATAAAATATCTGAAAAACATAGAAAAGCAGAGAGAAGAATAAAAATATCCATTTCCCTACTACCCAAGGAACATTTTACAGTATTTCCTTCTAGTCTTTTCTCTACCACATGTCCTTTTAGGGACATCTTGGGCATAAATGATTTGGCACCAATGATTAAAAACAATGGTTCTTAATATTTTTAGATCAAGGATCCTTTTAATAATCTCATAAAGCTATAGCCCAGAATCTTCCACAAAAAAAATTCATGTACAGAATTTTGCATGCAATTTAAGGAAGTTCATAGACCCTAAGTTCAAGATATTTTATTCTGCTAATTTAAATAACACTACCACAAACATCTTTATGAATACGCCTTTTTCAAAATGTAGGATTATTTCATTAACGTAGAACCCCTGATGTGGAATTACAGAGCTAAAGACCATGAACAGTTTTGAAGCTCTTGATACATACTATCAAAGTCCTTTTAATAGTTTTTATTACCAACAATATAGGAATGTACCCATTTCACACTAAAGGTTACTCACCAGCACTGGGCATGATCACTCCCAATTTATGTGAAAAAAACTATCATGAAATATTAATTTACTTTACTTTGATTACTGATAAGTTTTAATATTTTCTGACATACTTATTTTTTTCCCTCTTTTATGAATAGTTTATACACTTCCCATTTATTTATTAGGAATTTCAAATTAATGAATTTATTTAAAAAGTAAAGAGAAATCTAAAAATTTAAACCTTTCTCCCTTATTGCTGGTTATAAAGAGGAGAAAATTTATTTAATCCCTTAAGACAAAAATCGTTCTCATTTTTCCTATGAAATATACTTAACTACATGAAAAACACTATTAGAGGTAGATAAGATTAAATTCATAATTTCATTGTTTATACTATAATCTACATAGTATCAAAAACAATCTGTATTTACAAGTCAAACTTTATCAAAAGACAATTTTGACAAGCCAAGAATACAGAATTAATTCACTGAAATGGTAAAAAAAAAAAAGAAACTATATAAAAATATTTGACATTGCCTCTCTAGAAGTAATAGGGCTGTTAACATGTGACTTTACTGTCACTTGAAGTACTCAAGCAAAAGCTAGATCATGTTTTTTGTTAGAGATATAGTAGAAAGCGGCTTTTCACTGAGTATGTGAAGACTACCACGGCCTTACAACTCAAGATCCGATTGGTAGTGGTCATGGTGATGAAATAAGACCAGCCCATTGCTCCAATACCCTGCACGCTATACCTCATCCTCCCATCAAGTAAGTAAATAGATTAAAAGTCTAGAAGGTGGAATAAGTATACCAAAATATAATAACCGCAGGATAGATGACAGAAAATTGAATAGGACCCTAGATATTTCTGATCCTTTGGACACGGACTATATTCTCAGTCCTTTTTGCTCTGTTCTTGTTGGTTTCTTACCACCACTTAAACTAGTTGGTACTATCCTCTGAGGAAAGTCATGCTTACACAAACTTTGTAATAGTCTGAATGAGAGTAAAATATTTCAGTTAATATATGATAAAGTATGCAATTTAGCAGAGCTTCTCATAGTTCTCAGATAATCTGCAACCAATTTATAATTCTTTCTTAAAACAATATTTTTCTTCTGAGTACAGCCAGTTTACACTCCCAGCAGTTATTTACACTGCTTGTTGCACTATATCCTTACCAATAATGAATAATTTTTAAATTTTGATATACAACAAATATCTCATTTTTTAAAAGTAGAATTTATTTAATTATTAGTGACTATCTTCCTAATTACAAGAGCAATAAAAAGAGTAAGAAAAAAATATCCTTAATTTGGCAATCAGAGATGATTGCTGTTAGGTAACGTTTTGCTACAATTCTATGTAGTTCCTTTTCTATGCAGGTTTTTAAATTTGGATTATATTATATATACAGTTTACTATTCTCATTTTTTTCACTTCCTATGTCATATTTTTCCATGTTCCTAAATATTCTTTACAAAAATGCCATTTTAATATATATGTAATTATTTTTATTTCCAATCTTCTATTTGGGGATGTTTAGATTGTGTCACATGGTTTTTTCACTGCTACAAATAAGATTGCAATTAACATTTTTGTCCACACTTCTGACCATTTCCTTAATAAGTTCATAGAGGAGGAAGCACTAGGTTAAATATGAACATCTTTCTTGTTTATGACACATCCAGCCAAACTGCTTTCCAAAATATCCTCCTCACCAGCAGTGTATGAGACTAGACTGTACTACTCCCTTACCATCAATGATTATTATTTATTAAAAATCTTTGCTAATTTGATAAGCAAAAATTAGTATTTCATTGTATTTAATTATCAGTAATTATCATTGGAGTTAATTATCAGTAATATTTTGTATTTTCTTTTCTGAGATTTTGCATGTCCTTTTCTGATTTTGGTGTTTTTCATCAAGTTGTCTAATATTAAGATTATGAATTTGTGATAGAAGCTGGAAATAAGTTTTGCCAGTTACCCATCTGCTTTCTAAATTTTGCCTGATGTCTGAATTTTAGAAATTTAACTTCTATGCAGCCAAAGACTGTGCCACTGTGATTTTTGTCCATTGTTTTTACATAAAGCTTAGAAAGTCCTTCCACTTCCAATCAGTTAAATATTCATCTACGTTTTCTTCCAGGTTTATGATTTCATTATTTACATTTAATTCTTAAATCCATCTGGAAACTAAAACATATTTTCAACTTAACCTACAGAACTTTCCAAACTAAAAATACTGGTCCACACTGACAAAAATATATAACTATCACTAATTTTAAAAAGGTTTCCTGACAGCAATATTAATTATTCTTGCAAATGTCTACTTACTTTAAAGCAATATTTTACAGAGTGAAAAAAATCTATTTTTTTAAAACAAAATAAATTTGGGGGAAGAAAAAAATGGTAATGGGGCAGGAGATCTATTTTGGTCTAAAAATCCAAATCAATAAACATTTAAGAGTACTAACTACTATAGTTGGTCTTGATGATCGTTTTGGTCGATGATTAAGTAGTATATCAACAGCTCCCACTACTTCAGAGTCGATTGCCACCAAAAGTGCATCTGCGGACTTTAAAAAAAAAAAAGGTTAAAAATGAAAATGGAGGATAAAAAGGTAAACTATTTATTTTTACTAATTCATAAATAAAACTATTTTTTTAATTTAAACTGTATTATATACAGTAATACTGAATTTTCAAAAATTTAGACTATCCAAATAGTATATTTGCTTGCCTTAGCAGTACTTCTGTGTATCACAACACACACGTTTCTGTCCTGATTACATGAGCTGGTAAAATAATGAATGCTTGATAAAGGAGTTTATTAATGGAACAGCGCTAATCCATGCAGTATTTAAAGTTGAGATGTGTTTTTTCAAGATCTTTACTCTTGAATTTTGGACCAAAAGAATCTTAACAATCCAAATCTATAAAAGAAACTGCCAAGAACTATTACTACAGGTAAAAGATTGTGTTCAGTCTAATAAAAATGATCATCAATGCAACCATGAGGATAGGGCACAATAGAAAATGCAAACAGCAGGGAGCCCTCTGTTCTCATCTTTAAAACATACATGGCTGACTGAAATGGTGCAAATTTGACATTAAGATTAGCAATCTTATCAAGTAAATATCACAAAGAACTAGGCTACCAATATCCTCAGAGACAGGAGGAAGAAATGACTCGATAGTTTTACTCCCAAACTACAGCTCATTTTGAAGCTCCAACTTTTGACAGGAGGAAAAAGTAAATAAAAGCTGAGGAAATGGGGACCTTTCCACTCTCTGTAACCAAATCCACATTCCTACTATGATACTGGGCAACCATGACGTCAGGTTTTTGGGTTTCTTTCTGTTTTCGTTTTTAAGGAAAACCGTAAAGGCAGAAGGGAAACGAGGATAAATAACAATTTAATCTAAGAAAATGCTCTTGTTATTTTCAATCTG